AAAAATGGGTTTGCGATGCATGGTGTTATGGAATCATCACACAAGCCCTTCCTAGCCCTTCCCAGCCTTCTTTGACATTAAAACCAGATCTCAGCCGGGCGGTGGTGGCGCACGCCTTTAATCCCAGCACTCGGGAGGCAGAGCCAGGCGGATCTCTGTGAGTTCGAGGCCAGCCTGGGCTACCAAGTGAGTTCCAGGAAAGGCGCAAAGCTACACAGAGAAACCCTGTTTCGAAAAACCAAAACAAAAAAAAAAAAAAAAAAAAAAAACCAGATCTCAGTTTGCTCCCGTTAGTGTTGGGTGAACGTGCAGCCACTGCTGTTGCTGACTCCATGCAGAGCAGATGCAGTTGATCAGGGCAAGCAGTTGAAATTCTCTGAGCCAGGCATGATGGTGTCACAGGCTCCTTCGGAGAGTAAGGCAGAAGAATTGCAAGTTTGAGGCCTGCCGTGGCTATAGAGTGAGTTCAAGGCAGCTTGGCTTACTGAGTTCCTGTCCTTTTTGTTGGTTGGATGGTTGGTTTGGTTTTGAGACAGGTTTTCTCTCTGTAGTCCTGGGACTTGCTCTGTACACCAGGCTGGCCTTGAATTTAGAGATCCTCCTGCCTCTGCCTCCCGAGTGCTGGGATTAAAGGTGTGGGCTACCACACACACACACACACAGCCTGAGCCCTTGTCTTAAAAAGTAAAAAAAAAAAGTGCTCTTTTCTGGCTCAGTGGTAAAGTACTTGCCTAGGATTGACCTAGGTTCAGTACCCAGTACTGAAGAAAAGGATCCAGGTTCAGTCCTCAACACTGAATAAAAGGACCTAGATTCAAGCCCCAACACTGAATAAAGAAAACGTGTCTCTAGCTGTCAGCTTCTTGACTGTCCTTTGTAGGTCACTAGTGGTCCAGGAGCCAGGGAACTGGGCTGGGTCAAGAGGCTGAAGTTCATGTAGCTCTGCTGTCCTGTGGACATTGTCAGCCTAAGTCCCCTGGCCTGTGAAATGGGACAAAGGTAGAGGTGACCAGCTCAGTGTTCTAGTGCAGAGCTGCATGAGACCCTTTCTCAAGGGAGAAGCAAAAAAAAAAAAGCTGCATTTACTTCCTGGTGAGGCAAAAACAGGCCCAGCCATCAAAACATCACAGTGCCCGGTCCAGTGAGTCTTTCCTACTGTGTAGCCCGAAGCCTGCTTGTATTTCCTTATTGTGGCCTGGGCTTGGATTTAAAATTGTGATATGATTGAAATCAGACCGATGTGGGCACAAAGCCTCCAAGTCAGCTTCCTTGTTCACGTACTGTCCTAAAAATAGAAACTAGTGTGGTGTACACTTGCTTGTCTGGTTGGTGTGTGTTGGTGTGTGTTGGTGTGTGTGTGTGTGTGTGTGTTTCAAAACACTACCACTGAGCTCTATCCCCAGGTGGGTTTTCATCTTTCATCTGGGGACGGAGTCTCAGTAAGTTACGCAAGCTAGCCTTGAACTCGCTCTGTAACCCAGGCAGCCCTTGAGCTTGTGATCCCGTGTTCCAGGCTCCCCATTAGCTGTAGTTTTCTTATTTTCTGAATGGAAAGAGGTGTGTGCTTACAGGGGAGAAAAGGCCACCACACCAGTATAGGAGGTTCTGCAATGTTGGGTGACTTCCCCTTACACCTCATCCCAGTTCCCGCCTTCAGAGCCACCTCCTGTCTTCCTACAGCAAGCATTTTATTGAGTATGCATTTCTACAGAAAAAGAAGGGGTCTGTCCTGCTCCATGCCTGTCACCAAGCTGGGGAGACAGAAGTGAGGTGTGCCCCCAGTAGCTAAACTAACCTAAGGGACACTTGATGCCTCTGAAGGATGGATGGGATGCCACAGGGTGAGGGCAGGTCCTGGGGCTGGCAAAAATGATAGCTGGTATGGTAAGAGTGCCTCAGAGCTGGGTGTGGTGGCACACACCCTTAATTCCAGCACTGGGAGGCAGAGACAAGTGAATCTCTGTGAGTTTGAGGCCAGCCTGGTCTACAGAGTTCCAGGGCAGCCAGGGCTATGTAGAAAGACCCTGTCTCAAAAACAAAAACATAAATCAGAAAGTGGCTTGGAAAAGGAGTCCCTCCTGCTCAGCACCAAAGGCAGCACACGGTTGGCACAGGGCGGGCTTCCTGCTCTGGCTTGTGCTGTTTGAGTCCCAGGCTGTGCAGAGCCAGCACACTGGGGATTTTGTGAGCCTTTGAGCCTTCTAGAAGGTTCTGGTGCAGAGTAGAAAGGCTTAGATGTGCTCTTGTGGCAGGCACAGCTGGCCTCCCGAGGTTCTGGGGACTGGCTGTGGGACTGCTGAGGGAGAATGCCCTTGTCCTGATGGTACCCGTGGTGGCAACTTCTGCCTGCACAGCTGACTTGATTACGACTTCTTCCAGGCATTCAGCAGCTTTCTGCTCTCTTCCTGTCTTTACTGTGACTCTTGGTAGGATGCATGCAACATCAGGACCTTGTTTGGCATTACTTTCTTGGCAGGTCATAAATATTGCCAGACTGTCAAATCCTGTGCAGCATCCCCATGGGTAAGAACCTCATCTCAGTATCAGGCAGGCAGAGCATGGGAGGTCTGAGGGGCTCACCTTTCCAGCTCCTTGGTGTTTAGCTACAACAGCACAGAGGGACACCCCTGAAGCCAACATGAAGATTACCTGGCATCTGTAGAGATCAAGCCAGGAGGCATTACGCTTTGGATGAACAGTTAGGTTGAAGTTACCCCATTGCTGCATGGGGGAGGGCGTATTTTAGGCATTACAAGAGCACTCAGAGAGGACCTTGTCCTGACAGGGTAGCTCTCCTGGCCCATCCATGGCAGATAGGGACAGAAGACTCATTGATGCTGGTACTTTCAAGTGACAGGAGGGACGGGCCCCAGAAGGACCTGATCAAAGTTGTCTTTTCTCAAGACTCAGTTTAGCATTTTTAAAACTGTCATGTTGCTGGGCACGGTGGTGCATGCCTGTACTCCCAGAATTCAAGAGGTTGAAGCAGGAGGATCGGCTGCTACACAGTGAGTTCTAGGGCCATTCTGGGTTACAGGGTAAGACCACATCTCAAACAAAATACCCTTCAAAACTCCAAACCAGCCTTGTATCTGACCCTCTAGGTACGTTTGAGAACATGGAATTTAGGATGAGGAGACGGTTCATTGGTAAAATGCTTGCTGTGAACATATGACCTGGGTTCGGAGCTCTTCAAACCCACATCAAGCCAGGAGTGATTTGTCAGTAATCCCAATGCTTCTACAGTGAGATGGGAGGTGGAGATGAGCGCATCCCCATAAACTCAAGGACTAGCTAGCCTGGCATGTGCAGCAGCCCACACAGAGACCCTGTCTCAGAAAAGGTAGAATTCAAGGACCGATGTCCAAGGTTGGCTCCTGAATTCCACTCTTGCCCATGTGTGCGCGCACACTCACACTCACGCACACATACACACATACACTAAAAAAGAACGTGTAATTCAAAGACCTCACTTTGAAGATAAGGAAACAGAAGCATGGAGAAATTAGGTGACATGCGCCACCATTGCTGTCTCTTAGGGAAATGCAAAGAGGTACAGGAACGGAGGCGCCAGGCCTTTGCTTAGCGAGAGCCCGTCACCTCACCCTCCATTCCCTTTCTGGCCCGTTTGCTTCCCTGCTTCCAGGTACAGCTTCTTTGGAGTTCTTTAAAAGTCTTTTCTTCCCAGCCCTTTATGGCCATAGAAAACTGCAGCCAGCTTCTACAGGTGAGACTTCCCAAACTCCAGAGAACTCTGGGAGAGGGAAAGGCAAGATGGACACACGGAAGAGTGTCCATCTTCGTAAACCACTCACCCTGCCGCCTGTGGCTACTCCTGCTGGGTGGTTCTCTGCCTTCCTGGGGAGACATGGAGCCTGGAGCTTTCCTTCTGCCTCTCAGTGACCTCATTCCATTGATGCAGCCACTCAGGGGTCACAGACATAGAGGCCTAGTTCCTAGCTGAGCCCTGGGAGATTGCCAAACACGGGATTCCAGCAGCAGCCAGACTTACTGAGTACTTGTGCGCCAACAAGACCCCGGGGTGATTCCTCTGTGAGGCTCAACACAGGCAGGCCCTTGCTGTGCTTCCCTCCCAAGAGCTGTCTTCTTACATTCCTGGGTCAAGATTATGAGACCCAGCAGCTTTCCCCATGTGTATGGCAGCCCTCTGCTTCCCTAACACCTTCAAAAATATAGCCTAGTGAAACCAGAAGGTCATGTGAGAGAATGCTTGCTTTGTCGGACAGATACTCAAGTTCTTCAAGAAGCAGGTGCATATACAGTTGTCTGTCTGTCTGTGGAATTCCAGGACCATTCCCATCTCAAATCTGGGGATGCTCAGGTCTCTGATATAAAATCTGTGATTCTTAGACACTGCCCTTATGCTTTAAATGATATCTTAGTACCCAATGTGGGTGCTATGTGGGTTCAGTAGGCACCATACTGTATTGTGAAGGAAACAGTGATAAGACAATACATATTCAGTACAGATGCAATTTCCACCCCCCCTCCCATATTCTTGATCCAAAGGTGGTTGAGTCCTCAGATACAGAGGGCCTACTGTTCTCAAAAGGCAAAGAAAAATACAACTTCTGTTCAGCTACAGAGGCACCGCAAAGACCCCCCAGGCTGTAAAGCTGTCTTATCTCTATAACCACCAAGACCCTGAGTGACTTAACTAAAGGCTAATTTAGACCCATTCTTCCCAGACGATTCAGGGACAGAGATTTGGGAGATTTCTGAAATGTTAAAAAAAGGTTGAAGATACAAGTATTCTAGAAAGTTAATCTGTGGGCAGCAAGCATGTCCACCTCACACCCTGTCCATGCTGCCAGAAACATGAGCTCGCCGGTCTCCCAAATAACTGGTGACCTCCTCTTTGCCAGCCCGTCCCCAGCCTGCTGACAGCTGATAGAATAACACAGTAGGCAGAGCTGGTTTTTTTTTTTTTTTTTAACTTTTTTTCTTTTGGTTTGTTTTTAAAGAAACTGCATACATCATCAGAGAGAAACAATAATTTAAATACCATGCAGTTTCTGTATGTACAAAACCTAGGCCACAGAGATCCAGTTTAATTTATATTCTATGTACAGCATCTTCCTCATACAGTCGTCATCTGTTAAATTAGAACCCTGGAGGGCACGGGGTCGACGGTCACCACACTCACTCACTCCTATACAAAGACAACTATGTACAGACACCAGGAAGCAACTGGAAGAAAGCCACCTGCTTGGGGAGGGGAACAGATTCGGGGGAGGAGGAAGTCATCGAACGTGACTCCTGCCCACTGGCTGTGCACAGGGAGAGCCTGGGATCCCGTTCCTCGAAGCAACACGCCACGATGCTCATTCCGAAAGGACAAACACATGTTCATAAGCAGGGGAGAAAGAAACTCAGAGCGTCTCCTCACACGGACCATTGTGTTGTTTGGTTTCTCTATCTGGCAGAAAGGCTCACATTCTAAAAACCTGGCAAGGCTCTCAGGGTGTCTGGGGATGAAATGTTCAGGATTTTGGAAAGGCCAGTTTGTCGATGGCAGGCTCTTCTACCAGGGGAGTGGACCTGGGATGCGGTTTTCAGCAATGCCTGATTTTAAGAAGAGAACAAGGTCTGACACATTTCACGTTTTCCCCTTTCTTGCTAACCCGAACCCCACAGTGCTCAGATGGGAATGTAGAGGCTCTGCAGCTTTTCCAGAAAGGGATGGTTAAAGCCATCTAGCTTGCCTTTTATTCCCTCCCTAATTAATGTCGAATTGTCCCCTTTAGAAGTAATTCAAGTCACTTGAGTTATCCTAACAGTAGGGGAAATGTGGTTACAGCTCCCTAAAGACTCCAGGTTTTCAGGAGAGGGGACGTGCCATCCCACAGCTGGTGAGGCTGCTGAGCCCGGGTAGGAACCACTTATCATGGCCTTAAAATAGCTGATCCCCAAAGGAGGTGACCTTTTAGGAGCATGCAAGGCACACCCCTAACTCTGAGCAAGTGGCTTCTGCAAAAGGGTGCCCTACAGGAAGTGATGTGGGCATTGTGTCCGACTTCTTCCATATATAAAGAGGAGGGCAACTCCAGGGCATGCTGAAGGGAATGGTGGCAGCTGCTGGTGAGCAGCTGGGAGACAGATGAGTTTGGAGCTTCTGTCCCCAGGCAACCAGAAGGGCCCTAGAACCAAGGCCAGCAGGGAGGCCAAGGAGGTCCTTAGGACTCCTCCTGCCCGGGGAAGGCCTGACTGCCAGGCTAGGATACTACAGCAGCATAAAACACAGCTACTGCTTAGAGGAAGTGCAGCTCTCCAGCTCCGCCAGGCAGGGACCTCCACCCAGAGCACATGCCTACCCTCCACCCTAGGGAAGTTCAAGGAAAGAATTCGGCATCTTTCCTCCTGCCACGTGCACATTCAAAAGTCAGTAAGCCTTTCGGGAAGACTGTGTTTACAGCCACGCTAAAGTCCCTGCCACGCTTTCCCTGAATACCCCTCTGGACATTCAAATGATAATAATAATAATAAAAATGATAGGAAGATCCAGTGATGGTGGTGTCTTTGGGCTGGACAGAAGTGTGCTCAGTCCAGATGGTGCTAGGAAAGCAGCAGCTGCATTGACGCTACCTGTAGGGCTGATCCAAGCTTTCCTTTAACTCCGTCTGGTTCCTGGGTTAACAGCTGGCCGTGGAGCCATTAATGCTCCAGTAAATTGTAACGGCCTCACTGATGGGTGCTGTGTCCTAAGAGTAACATGGTCCCAACTGATTTGACAAGGGGACAACCTTTTGGGGCTGGCCAGAATGGCTAGCTGACATCTTTCTAAATCCTAGAAAGATGCTGGACGGGGAGTAAGCCATCACCTAGTGAAACCGCGGTGATTCTGAAAGCTGAACACACCCCTGGGGTTGAGGCAGAGCTTTGCACCCAAGGGTCTGTGAGCTCCATTAGGCAGGACAGCAGTGCTGCAGCAGGTCTCCTTAGGGTCTGGGGTGTCCTTCTATCAGTGCACACCCAACCTTTAGAGGCCCTGTCAACAGGGCAGCTGGAGGCACATCCCAAGAGAGAGAGAGAGAGATAAGACGGAATCTCTCTGGGTAAGAGGAGCGCAAGGGACACCATGGACAGTCATGGCTGGAAAAGTCTTGCCCAGTGCAGTTTTGCTAAGATGTGGATCTCTCTGCAGAAACTCTTCAGTGAACAGACAGAAGAGTGGAAGGCCCTGGAGAGGCACTGGGACATTGGTCCCCAACTCTGGCCTCCGTGTACTCAGAAGTTATTAAAACTGCCAAGTCACATCATCACTGTCCCGGGGTGTTACAAGGCCGATGAAAAATGTGGGCCAAGTAGAGTTTCTGACCCCAGCCTCTGGTCAGCTCATACTCATGAATGCCACAGGGAACCTTAGAAATGGCATTTATGTGTGGATCACCCACGGCCCTGGGCTTTCCCAACATAAGCTGGTCAATGAATGTGAACTGAGCAGGCAGCTGCTATTCCTCAGTCTTCTGGAAGGCAGTTCAGGTTGGGCTGGGGGTCAAAGTAGATGCTCATTGACCTCCTGTGCCCACAGCACACATGCTTAGGAACAAAGTACCCACACAGGTTCCCCCCAGGACTGAGTGTGTGTGTGTGTGTGTGTGTGTGTGTGTGTGTGTGTGTGTGTGTGTTGGGGGGCAGTAACTGAGAGATGTCTTCTGCTTTTCGAGAATCTCCTCTCAAGGGCCCCCAAAGTAAATGCCCCATCTGGAGCCTGTGTGTCTGACAGAATCTAGACCAGCTGGATTATGATTTTCACCTAGCCGCTCCCATGCCAAACCCACCGCCCTTGGCTTCTTTGGACTCAGGCGACAGTCCCTTGTGAGGAAGGGGTTCACTGAAGACTGAACCAGTGTGGTGCCTGCTGGCTGGATGAGGGGGATGAGGCAGTCCCTGGACAGTGTTCAGGTAGGGCCCTGCTGGGGGCAGGACCACTTTTCCATAGCAGAAGTGGTGCCAGCAACTCTGACTGAGGAGTGGTCACCATGGTGTTCCTGCACATAGAATCCTGATTGTGTTTCCTTTCTTTGCTTCTTCTTCTGTTTTCTTCTCTTTCTTTACTCTTTTTTTTTCTTTTTTTAAAAAAGGCAGTTCAGATTTACATCGTAATGGGGAAGTGGACAAATGCCAGCACTTATGGTTCTTATAAATTTATGTTTTGAAGACAGCAGAGCACTCAAGAGTAATCCCACTGTTATGGTCGATGAAACCTGGGAAACAAGAAAGTTCGTCAAGGCCGAGGGGATGTCAGGGGCCCCATCCCACAACTGCATCTTTCCATCCTCAGATACCCTGGTTGGGACAGTGATATTCCAGTGTGACCTCCCACCCATGACACAAACACAGAGGGGCACCCCGAGTATTTGAGCTCTACAGATTTCATCTAGGGACCAGAGAAAGTTTAATTTGGAAGCATTGGAGGCCCAAACTGGATTTGGCTGCACTAGGATTCCTGCATGGCAGTAAGATGGAGGTCCTGACTGTGTGTCTGAGTCAGGCAGGAGGTACATTGGTAAGTCCTGCTTCTCCACATGCTCCAAAGGAGAATGATTATAAAGATTAAGCCAGTGGTTTAGTTACTAACCAGCCAGGCACACACACGCCCCCATAGCAAATTCTTTCCGTGTCTCATTTTTACCAAGCGACATGAGACAGGATTGCTTGGTAGAAGAACACAGGATAACAGAACACTCTTTAATGGTCCCATGTGGTATTTTGGTATTCTACCCAGTTCTGGCCTCTGCTGACTGTGTGTTGGCAACACCCTTATATCCCCAGCTTCAGTTTTTTATAAAAACTCACTTAGGGGTCATCCAACACATAGCAAGACTTTTCATCCAAGCAAATTAAAGCACAGAGGGTGACTTTTTGCCTGGGCCTTAAACATTTTCACATCCTTTGCCTGAGGTTTTGTTCTTCCAACCTTTTGTTGTTGTTTTTGTTCTTGTTTTGAGACAGAGTCTAACTATGGAGCCCAAGCTAGCCTGCAACTCCCTATGTAGACCAGGCTGGCCTTGAACTCAGCAGAGATCCATCTACCTCTGCCTCCCTAGTGCCGGGACTAATGGTGTGTGCCATCACACAGGGCCTCATGGCCCTCTTTTTATCAACTTAAAGGTAGACCTTGACGTTGACCTCTGTCTTTTCTTTTCACATCTTACCCACAAGACCACTTGGTAATCTAGGGCAAATGGGTATTTATTTGAAAGTAAATATCAACAGAGCTGGGCATGATGGTACACATCTGCAACGCCAGCACCCAGGAGCCTGAGACAGGAGGATTTCTGTAAGTTCCTGGCCAGTCTGGACTATATAGTGAGAACCAGGCCAGCTGGGTCTCCAATGAAAGAAAGTAACAGCAAAAAAAGGGAAAATAAACATGGCCCTGTGGTGGTGGGGACATTCAAAGCGGCCCCCACCAATACCAACCTTGTCAAGTGTCTACTCAACTCGTGGACTTCCATTTCGGTGCTTTTGAACTCATTAAGTTCCTTTCGAATGGCGGCCTGGAAGAGGAGCAGCAGGTCAGCACGCTGAAGAAGTGGGAAGGCCTCCCCATTCATCCTACCTAAAAATATTCTTCTTCTTCCACACAACTACACAAAAAAAGTCACCTGGGTGTCCTTTAAAACCTTCCAGGATTTTCCTTCTTTGGGGACACTGTGAGGTTCTAATGGAGCTCTCCATATTTTGTGAGGTCTCTGTACCCCATGCTCCCCGTGGGGTTACAGATGGCACACATTTTGGCTTCACCTCCCTTCTGCAGTTCTCCTGCTGGGCGCCTGGGAAGGTGTCTTGACACAGAGAGCCAATGATAAGTCTGGAGGCTCATGTTAAGAATGACTCTGTGCCTCGTCCAGTGTTACTCTGTCTTTCTGGGCACAGTCCCCCGACATGCTATGGAAAAGAACTGAATGATCTTGTGTCAGAACTCTATTTCTCTATGTCACTGTACTGAGGAGTGGGGACCTTTCAAAGACAATCTGGTTGTTAAGAGGGACCAATGCCTTTATCAGGGATGGGATCAGTTAAACAGGAGCCGGCTGTTACAAAGGAAGACTACTTCCTACATTTTCTCTCGGGCATGTGTCTATCTCCCTGACTTATGTCCCATTATGGAGCAGCAAGAGGTTCTCCCCAGATGAGGCTGCCTGACCTTGGGCTTTCTGGATTCTAGAATCTTTAGCCTTTAAATAATCTTTCTATATAAAATTATGAAGCCTCAAGTGTTCTGTTACAGCACCAACAAATGGACCAGGATTCTGTCCTTCCTCCTTCTGGGAAGCAGGCACAGTATCTTGCCTGCTCTGTGCCTTTTCCAAGTGAAGACCCCATCGAGTGGTTTCCCACAGGTCACTCGGAGCACTCCTGTGAGCAGCACTTTTAGCATGGGGCCGAGGCAGGGCTCTGCTCTCCTTACGTACAACGTGCACCCGCTTCCCCTTTCTCTACCACCTCCGCTTACTTTGTCAGCAGCTGTGAGTCGGGTCCATGGCTTGTCCGCTCTGCGGTCATAGTCCTGGGCATCTGCCACCTCCACGTAGTCACTGAAGCGGATGAGGATCTTCCTTTCTCGAAGTTCTTCCACTGTGGGCCTTTGACTGAGCTGCAAGGAGGGAGAAAGGTGGGGACCCGTCAACAGAGGCCTTTAGACCACGGTTTCATTTGTGAACTTGTAGGTGTGGAAAATGAGTCCGGGAAGCTAACTGATATGTTATACAGCAAGCTGGAGCAGGGAGCAGAACCCAGAGTGCTTAACTCCGGGATTCTGCGAGCTTTACTGTCCCTTTCAACCTCTCGGGCTTATACAGATGACAGCAGCCTGTCTTTTATCACACTGCTTTCTTGGTCTGATAGGAAGCCTGATTGTCTGTGTAGCTGTGAGTGTGTCCACTGTGGATTTTCTCCGTCTGTCCTTCACCTGGTGGGAGGCAAACACCTTAAGCAATGATTCCATCTAAACTTGGATTGGTGAGTCCACATCTCTGTCTTAAAATTAGCGCTGTTTGCAGAATGGGTCTGTAACACATTATATGCGTGTGTGCACATACACATTACATATATACACATACCCGTGTGTGTCTACAGATACATATATGCCTGTGTGTTTTAGGCATACAGAAGAGCACTTGCAAATGGTATGCAGCCTCCAGGCTGTGAGGGGGTGGGATAGGTTGATTTAGGAGTTTTTAGGGTTTCTTTCAGAAGGTCAATTTTAAGGTTAGTGAGCCAATGCAGAGCTGAGCAAGCCACATCTATGCCACGGAGAACAGACTTTGCAAGGAGGGAGGGATAAAAATCATGTTTATTTAGCCATCTCCTGGTATTCCCCTGAGCACCCTTCCTCTGTCCCTTAACAACAGAAAGCTGACATTTCCATTATCTTTCCCTGTCACAAGCTTATTTCTTCTGGAGCAACACAACCGTTCCCTTTACAATGCTGTCAGCTCATGTTCAACCAGGGTTACTTAAAAACAGTTTTTTCTCCCAGCCCTAGACTGTTGACTGCTATTAATAGAAGAGGCAGTCAGATAAAGTCTTACGGCTCTGGTCTATAAAACAAACAGCAAATCCAAATGACTCTGGCTGTTCTGCCTGCCATGCAGTTATCTGCCTGATGCCCTTGGCTGGAGCTGGAATGTTCCAATGTGCTGCTACCATGGCACAGTGAGATGACAGCCTGCTGCCATTAAAGAGAGGTTCCTGGTGGTGAGAGCCTGGGTGGGACTGACTAGGCATTTGGTCCCCTCTTGGCTAAAGGAGGAAGCTCCAGGGATCAGAAGCCTAATGATTATGGAACTGGCCCATGCCTAGACCACCAATGATTTTAGTCTGTCCTGAGGTACCAGCGGTTTTCAGAGGGCTAAACACTTTGTCATCCATGTGGCTTGTCATGAGAAAGTATAGTTTCCCAAGCTATGTGGCCGAGGTTGCTGGAAATTAAAAAGGTGGTCATTTTGGCATCAAGATGTTCTTTGTGAAATATGAGAGCTGACAGAATTTATACTGAAGTTAAAAAAAAAAAACATTTAATTTTTTTTGCCACATTCACACCAGCGAAACAGATACTTATCAAAGTCTCCTGTTTGTGGTCCTCAATTTGATTACCTCAGGATGTTAGATAAGCAGTGCAAATTTTTGATGTTTGCTACATCCAAGGGTTCTTAAGCCATGATTTCTGAATTTATTTTCCTGGAAACCACACTCTGGGCTACCTAGGTGTAGTGTTTCACATTTTCAATCTCAGGACTCAGGAGGTTAAGGCAAAAGTATCTAGAGTTCAAAGCCAGCCTGGGCTACATGGTGAATTCATGGCTAGTTTGGGCTACTCTAGCATGAGTCTATCTGCCCCCTCCCCAGTTTCAAAAAAGTAAATGAATAAACAAAAAAATCATAATCTAGAGTTTACCAATGCCCATCTAACAGCAGAATCTGGAGAGAAGACTTAATGCTGGAAGTACTCAAGGACAGGGATGATGGAAGTACTCAAGGACAGGGATGATGGGAGTACTCAAGGACAGGGATGATGGGAGTACTCAAGGACAGGGATGATGGGAGTGCTCAAGGACAGGGATGATGGAAGTGCTCAAGAACAGGGATGATGGAAGTACTCAAGGACAGGGATGATGGAAGTGCTCAAGGACAGGGATGATGGAAGTGCTCAAGGACAGGGATGATGGAAGTGCTCAAGGACAGGGATGATGGAAGTGCTCAAGGACAGGGATGATGGAAGTGCTCAAGGACAGGGATGAAGGAAGTACTCAAGGACAGGGATGATGGAAGTGCTCAAGGGCAGGGATGATGGAAGTACTCAAGGACAAGGATGAAGGAAGTACTCAAGGACAGGGACGATGGAAGTGCTCAAGGACAAGGATGAAGGAAGTGCTCAAGGACAGGGATGATGGAAGTGCTCAAGGACAGGGATGAAGGAAGTACTCAAGGACAGGGATGATGGAAGTGCTCAAGGACAGGGATGATGGAAGTGCTCAAGGACAGGGATGATGGAAGTGCTCAAGGACAGGGATGATGGAAGTGCTCAAGGACAGGGATGATGGAAGTGCTCAAGGACAGGGATGAAGGAAGTACTCAAGGACAGGGATGATGGAAGTGCTCAAGGGCAGGGATGATGGAAGTACTCAAGGACAAGGATGAAGGAAGTACTCAAGGACAGGGATGATGGAAGTGCTCAAGGACAGGGATGATGGAAGTACTCAAGGACAGGGATGATGGAAGTGCTCAAGGACAGGGATGATGGAAGTACTCAAGGACAGGGATGATGGAAGTGCTCAAGGACAGGGATGATGGAAGTGCTCAAGGACAGGGATGATGGAAGTGCTCAAGGACAAGGATGAAGGAAGTACTCAAGGACAGGGATGATGGAAGTGCTCAAGGACAGGGATGATGGAAGTACTCAAGGACAGGGACGATGGAAGTGCTCAAGGACAGGGATGATGGGAGTACTCAAGGACAGGGATGATGGAAGTGTTCAAGGACAGGGATGATGGAAGAACTCAAGGACAGGGATGATGGAAGTGCTCAAGGACAGGGATGATGGATGTACTCAAGGACAGGGACAGGGATGCTGGAAGTACTCAAGGACAGGGATGATGGGAGTACTCAAGGACAGGGATGATGGAAGTACTCAAGGACAGGGATGATGGGAGTACTCAAGGACAGGGATGATGGAAGTGCTCAAGGACAGGGATGATGGAAGTGCTCAAGGACAGGGACGATGGAAGTGCTCAAGGACAGGGATGCTGGAAGTGCTCAAGGACAGGGATGATGGAAGTGCTCAAGGACAGGGATGATGGAAGTGCTCAAGGACAAGGATGAAGGAAGTACTCAAGGACAAGGATGACGGAAGTACTCAAGGACAGGGATGATGGAAGTGCTCAAGGACAGGGATGATGGAAGTGCTCAAGGACAGGGATGATGGGAGTACTCAAGGACAGGGATGATGGGAGTACTCAAGGACAGGGATGATGGAAGAACTCAAGGACAGGGATGATGGAAGTGCTCAAGGACAAGGATGATGGGAGTACTCAAGGACAGGGATGATGGGAGTACTCAAGGACAGGGATGATGGAAGTGCTCAAGGACAGGAGCTGCTTTTTATGCCCCCAATCCTGTGATGCTCTCAGTCTAAATCACGTTGGCATAGTATTGTGCTCATGTTCTGGGAGGGGACAAGTAAGGACAGTACAGACTGCTGTCTTGGGGGTCTTAGGTGGAATGTGGACCCTGATACTAGCCAGAATCTTCCAGAACTCATCTTAGAAGATGTGCACCTAGCCCTTGATACCCGAAGCCCGAAGCCCTTTCTAGATGCTGAGGAGACAATCTTTGTGGATAAAGTCTAGTTTTCTGAGGAAGACGGATTGGGACAACAGAAAAGAAGCAACAGTCATATCAATCTGTGCCAGCAGTATCATGTGCAACCAAAAATTTGAAAAATGAGTCAATTGAGATCCAAATTCCACTGAAATACAACCCAAACCCCAAATTTACCCCTTCCCTTGTCCCCATCATGTATATATGCATGCTTTCAGTTAGGCAGCTGCCCTTTCTTGGGGTCTGTGGTGGTGGGGATGGACCCCAGGGCCTTGCACATGGGAAGAGAGCGCTGTCATGTCACTGTGCTACAACTCCAGCTCTTAATCTTTTTTTTTTTTTTTGGAGAGGGAAGACAGGCATTTATTTCTAGCATATAATTTTTATGTTTTCAATTTAGTTTAAAAAAATGACTTGGTCTGTTGGTATCAACACCAGCCCCTGGGTTCTATTTTTTATTTTTCACTAGTCCATTAAAATTCAATATAATTTTATTAAGGAAATCAGGCCTGAGGTTCTAAGCAGTCACCAGCCCTGGCATCTGGTTTTGGTATGATAGAGGCTCAAGGGAAAAGAATTGACCCAGAGCCAGGGCAGGCTGTGTGGTGCCCACCTATAGGTGGGCGCCAGGGCTCTGCAGACCCAGGGAAATAGTAAATTTCCGGTTTCCACATTTCCCTCTGACTCCTTCTGAAACACTCATTCCTGCCCTCAAGGTCACGATTTTTAACTCTCCTTGGCAGCCTCAGGAAACTGGAAATGCTGGAATCACAGGGCCATTTCCCTGGTGGTGGTAGGTGGGTGGGGAGTGAGAGGGTGTGGGTGGGGGTGGGGAGAGACCAGGGGGTGCGGGAGGGGACAATGATGTTAACTGCAAAATCTAGGGGCTGTTTGTAGGTAAGGTTGGAAGTGTCAGCATCCTAAGGGACAGAAGTGTAGGAAGCAAAACTCTTGCCTACTCTCTGCTAACGCATTATGCAAATAGAGTCAAAGTTCTGTTTGCAAGAACACACAATCTTTTGATAAGAGATAAGAATTGAGAGATAGATAAACAAATCCTCCCTTCTTTTTTCTGTTTTTTTTTTTTTTTTTTTTTTCTTTAAGCAGGATCTCACTATGTAGCCCAGGTTGGTCTGGAACTTGATATTGTTCCCAGGATGGCCTCAAATTCACAGCAATACCCTTGTCTCAGACTTGCAGAGTGCTGGGATGATAGCAGGCACACACCACCATGTGAACGAGCCAAAGTTAGCCTCTAAGTCCCTCTCGGCCAAGGACAAATTAACTTCCTGGAATGCTGGGAAATACCAAGCCACAGGTTTTTTACTCCCCTAAAGAAGTTTGTTTGACCCATCTGCACTGCATATGCTTGATCACATGTGGGCAGGAGGTATACAGGCAGGCAATGTGCCTGGATGTATGCTTGCCCCTGATGGGACCTGATGGGAAATGCAATGAGTTGTGGGTTTGGTCTTTTTTTTTTTTTTTTTTTTTGGTTTTTCGAGACAGGGTTTCTCTGTGTAGCTTTGCGCCTTTCCTGGAACTCACTTGGTAGTCCAGGCTGGCCTCGAACTCACAGAGATCCGCCTGGCTCTGCCTCCCAAGTGCTGGGATTAAAGGCGTGCGCCACCACCGCCCGGCTTGGGTTTGGTCTTTTTAAGCCCTTGCAAAGTATGAATCAGGGCCACTACCTGGGATCCCAGAGTGGACCCGATCAGAGTTAGTATTTAATTAAAGTTTACTTCAAATTTGGCTCAAAATTGTGGAACTGGTTTTTCTTACTTGAATGTTGGACTAACAGTTTATGCCAAAGACTAGAGTTAGAACAACTGGCCAAAGCCAGGTCATTCAGTTCCTATTTTTGGCCCCCTCCCCCGTGATGCCAGCCAGACACCCCATCACCCAGGCTCTTGTTTATCTTACTTCCTTCAATTAGTTTGGCATTTGGCTTGCCACCAGTGTTTGGGATGGTTTTGGGAAGGGAGAGTGTTGAGAAGTACAAATTACTTCCTGAATAAGTGGCATGGCCTCTCAGGACCCTGAATCTCATCCTTTACATAATGTTTTCAGGGAGAAAAAGTCATTAATGAACATCTTTAGAATTAATTTTAATGGGTCTCTTCACCATCCTTAAGACTGAGTATCCTTTTCTCAAGATGGCCACTGCAGGGGGCTGATTGAAAACACTTTAGGCAGACAGAGGTAGTGTTATATCCGGTGTGCCATCAATTAATTAAACTTTCAACAGGACCCAAGAATAGTTCCAAGCTTATTTTTTTCTTTTCAAGAGGCCACTCATGTTTCAGAAGATCTGTGGGTCTATACAGCAAGGCAATACCCTCTATTTGATGGGTTAAAAATGTAGCAAAAACCCAGCTGTATAAGTTTTAAATGCTTTTCAAACATATTCACTAAACGGATCACGACTTTTTTGGTATCTTCCTGATCCGATAATTCCAACTGAATTTAGCAAAAGACAGTCAAATTTCAACAGGTAGTAAAGGGGAAACAAAGTTCATGATGTCCTATGATCATAGCAAAATACAATATGTTTTTTAAGCTACCATTTTTTTTTTTTTTAACATTTTTTGCTTTTTGTTTTTGAGACAAAATGGCCCACAGCTCATTATGTGTAGCTCAGGCTGGCCTTGAACTTGAGGCTATCTCAACCTTTTGAATGCTCAGATTACATGGCGTGAGTCATCTTGTCCATCTTGAACTACTAAATTTCTTTTTTTGAGACAGGGCCTCACTATGTAGCTTTGGCTGACCTGGAATTCACTATGTAGACCAGGCTGGCCTTGAATTCACAGAAACCTGCCTGCCTCTTCCTCCATAGTGCTGGGATCAAAGGTGTGTGCCACCATGCCCAGCCTCCTGGCAATTTTTTCATTTGGTTGAACTACTAATTTGTATGAGTTTCCAATGGTGTGGGGGGTTAAAATACACATAATCTATTTTTTAACTTAATTTTTAAAAACTCATTTACTTTTATGTGCATGGGTGTTTTGTCTGCGGATATATCATGTGTATTCCTGGTGCCCACGGATGCCTGAAGAGGATGTTGGCTCCCTTGGAACTGGAGCTCCAGCTGAGTTAGTTGACCATTATCCTCAAGAAAGGTGTTAGAGAGTCTGAGCAGTCTGGGTGAAGAGGCTTCAAAGCCCTCAAGGCTACAAGAAGCCAAGGTCTGTGAGCAGCTCTGGACATGGGGAACTGTCTTACCTTTCGAGTCAGCCTCCTCTTGATTTCACGCTTCTCCTCCTGCTCTTCCTGTTCATTCCGAGCTGAAAATATATGGAAGATGCTCTTGATTACAGAGCATAGCATCACCCACGCTCAGTATACCCTCAGAGCTTTTGCAGGCTCTAGTCTAAGCACTTAGGTCCCATTCCCTGGCTATCCTTACACCTGAAGGGACTTGTCTTCATCTTCCTGCATCCTTTCAAATTGGTGGACTTTTTTTTTTTTTTGTATTGTTGTTCTCTTTGTGTCTGGGTTTGGGGCCCAGGCAGGGAAGCTGGGGTAAGCAATGTGACTATAAGCCAAGGAGGTGTGTGGGAGAAGTATGGGGACACTCCTGGCAGTGACAAGCATTTGGGGAGAATCAGGATGCCTTCCTTAAGAAAGGTGTAAACCTCATGCCTCTTAGAGCCTCTCAGAGGCTGAAAGGGCTCATTGTGTGGCCCTAGTGACCCAAACCCTGTAGGGCAGGAGAGAAGACAAGCCTCCACCTGCTGCAGGAATGACACAGGGCAGAGTCAACAGCAACCTGAAAGGCTGCTCGTACTGACTTCAGAGCTCTCACCTGGCACAAGCCCTGATTCCACTAATTCTTTAAATCTTCCAAGAAGTCCACAGAACCCATGTGAGGTCAGAGTATGGAATATACGTGCTTGCATTTGGATTTGGAAACAGTATCTTAAGGAACACACTTCAGAGACTAAACAATCTCAGATTAATATACAGACAACTGACTTGTCTGTTAAAGAGCCATGGTAAGGGTCTGGGAAAAGGAGTAGGAACAAGGGCAGGGAACTTGAGCCTTTTCGCTGTCTGAACTAACAGAATGACCATAAGCAGACCATCATTTACCTCCTGGGCCTTGGAAAGATTCCTTGTTCTCTGTGGAAGCACATTTATCAACATGGTACCATCTGATTTGAAAAATACCAGGAATGCCAACTAGTGCCACAGAAAGCGTGAGATATCTCCTTGGCCTCGGGGTTAGGAGAGCACCAGCAAAAGTAAACTATGGGTTGATTTGGGCACAGTGTCTATTAAGCTTGCAGGGGATACCTGCATTCTCATTTTGCAATCATGGTTGTCAAGTCATGTTTCTGCAACTTTATTATTGTGTTATTATGGTCCATGGTTATAATTTGGTTGTGGTGCTAAAGGTCTCGGTATAGGGTAGGTCTTTCAAAGAAAGAAATCCCAGTGCATGGAAATTGAGGTGGGGAGTATGCAATTAATTGTCCTGTGTTCCCTTCTTGCCACCCTAGAAGTCAGCAAAGACAGTTATAGCCAGCTGTGACCAAAGGTGGCGACAACCTTTTCTGGCAACAAATGGTGGCAATTCAGAGCAGGACTAAGGGCCTTGAGTGACACCCCCAGAGTGTGATTTTGTGTCCCTGTCTGCCTGTGGGCATCAGGACCTTGTGTGGACCAGCTCAAGAAATACCCATTCCTCCCGTGGAATGGGCCAGGAGAGCCCTCACAGTGCCAGTACCTACCGTGAATGCCTCTTCCTTTGGATTTAATGACCCCTTTTCCTTCCCAGAGTTGCCTTAAAAAACATACATTTCTCTTAGCTAAAAACCTATAATAGCCATTATTTTCTTAGCATGAGTTAACCTATCACAGATAAATTGGGAAGCAGATAGCAAGACCCAGAAGAAGGGAAACCCAAAGACTGACATTTTCAAAAAAATGTAAATTACTCTGTGATAAAGTCTAGGAAACTAGCCAGCCATTAACATCTTAGGATAAATCCATCTATCCAGACTCAGTCTGGAGGCAGACCCCAGGCAGCTACCTATACTTGCAGCGGGGAGGAAGGATAGAAGGAAGGTAGTCTTGCAGTCTGTCCTCCATGTAGCTTGAGGGCACCACGTTGAAACTTAGAAACCGTGTAGGCTACCACTCCGGATTTCCAAATGAAGTCACAAAAGTCCCAGGGAATGAAGCCACCAACCACACCTGACATAGCTCACCACTCAGACAGTTCAGACCTCTGCTTTTTCCTGCTGTCACAACTTGCTTGAGGCTGGTCCTCCTTCTCATTACTGGGCCTGACCTCACTCCTGATCTACAGGTCCCTTCTGAGCCATGAGGGTGGGTGTTCTGTACCAGAGATGGCACAGCCCAGGGGACTTCATCTCTTAAGTAGGTTCTTAGGCCCTCAGAGGTGCGGATCATAAACTACCACCTATGGTGTCCATATCATTCTCTCAAAGCCATTTACAAACCCAGTGTCATGAATTCTCAGGCAGATGATGCCAAGGCAATCCCACTAGGCAACTGAGAAAAGAGGCCACTACAGTCCGGTGATGTCATCGTCATGGTGCCCACTCCCCAGAGTTCATTATGTGCTCAGATGCACACAGGGCCTCATTGGCTACTGAACAAAGTGAGGGCTTGCTTACAAGGCTGGGCAGGGTGGGGGTGCAGACCAAGCCCAGCCTCTGGCACCCCACATCTCCCAGCTTCTCTCCCAGTTTAAAGCCCAGAAGATAAGTTTTAGAACTGATTATTTGGGGATGTTTTCAAATACCCCTTGACATTTCTTTCTTTCTTTTTTTCTTTCTTTCTTTCTTTCTTTCTTTTTTTTTTTTTTTTTTTTGATTTTTTGAGACAGGGTCTCTCTGTGTAATAGTTCCTGGCTGTCTTGGAACTCACTCTGTAGACCAGGCTGGCCTCGAACTCACTGAGATGCACCTACCTCTGCCTCCCAAGTGCTGGGATTAAAGGTGTGCACCACCACTGCCTGGTGACATTTCTTATATAATAAGTAGGTACGGGGTGTGGTGACACACACAATCCCAGCACCTAGGAGATGGAGGAGGAGAGGGATTCAGGGGTTCAAAGTCATCCTTGGATATATATTAAGTTTAAGACCAGCCCTGGGCTATAGGAGACAAACAAACAAACAAAATCAAAACTAGAAGAGAAAGACACCCATCCCCTCAATAAGAACAAGACCAATAAAAAATTAGATTAAATAATAAACACAGAAAACAAATTTAGAAAGACAAAGGACCAACGCGTGGGGAAAGGAGGCACAACTCTGAAAGGTTTAGAGATCAAGAGCTGCCCAACCTGTTTGAATTTGGCTAAGCAGAGCCTGACTTTGTAGCCATTTTACTAGGAAAAGGCAGAAGGAATTTCATAAAGCAGGAAGAATTACACAGGTTTCCCTATAGTCTCCCTGGGCTGGTTAGACTCAAGGAAGCAACAGTAAAACAGAGAACTACAAACAAACAAACAAACAAACAAACCAAAAAACCAGTGCGGGTCATCTGGCTTTGATGTTCTGGGATCTGGATCTCCCCAGAGGTGGGGAGCCAGATGTGAGCCAGGGGATCCTCTCCCTCTGAGCCTCGCTGCCGCTGAGGGAAATGTATTTACAGAAACCTAAGCAAGGGCCAGCAGTATGCAGCCTCTTGGTGCTGGGGTTTCAGAGCTCAGGGCAGCTGCAGTGGAGGAGTGGAGGAAGTTTTTATCTGATTTCGGATTTGAGGAATCAGGAGTTCCCTCCTCCATTTTTCAGTTCTCATCAACAATGGACACTTTATAATGTTATAATGGACCAGATGTCTGTATGAGGCAAAAAGGAAACATCCTAAGGGCCAAGACTTCCCCAAATGTAGCGATCTCTGACGGTTCTCTGCCATCTAGTGTAGAGCAGAATACATTTAGAGACTTTTGAGACAGGGTCTTGCTGTGGAGCCTAGGCTGACTAGAACTCACAGTTTGCCAGTTTTAGGCACAGCCTTCGAGTGCTGGGATTACAGGTAAGTGCCACCATATTCTGGCAAACTTAGAAACTTTGAAGGCCACTCACTGGTTAAAAAAAAAAAATTAGGGCTGGCGAGATGGTTCAGTGTGTGTAAGTGTTTGCCACTGAGTCTGACAGCTTGAGTTCATAAGGCTTACTCTAGACCCAGAAAAACTGGACCTGAGAACAGCCTGCTCTGAGCTTGGGAAGGTAATGGTTGCCTTGGAGAAAGGATGTAGGACTCTGAGACAGGCAAGCAGATGGGCACCCATAGGTACTCCAGAGCCTGGAAACAACCTTCCCAGGCAAATGCAACATCCTCTCTCAGCAAATCACTCAATACTGGCTAGGCCACAAGACCATTGGAAGGAGGGATAGAAAAGTGCAATCAGAAACAAAATTATTTAAGTGGAAATACCCAGTCACCTAGAGCAAAGTCTCACGTGACGTGTGTGTGCACACATATCTGTAAGATACTTCCTAATATCTATTTTTTTTTTCTGGAAAGAAATTAGAAGGGCTTTTGGGAGATAGGGAAAAAGAATCACATATTAAAGTAAACATATTTGTTGGTTGGGTTGAGGAAACTGGGTAAGGATGGCAGCAGGGGTCTGGTGGGTGTGGGACTGATTTATTAAGAATTATTGAATATCTTCTGCTAAACTGAGGCATGTTGGGGTCTGTGGAATGCCGCTTTCTTTCATTCTTTTGCATTCTTTGTTTTAGTACCAAGTGGACTCTCTGGACAAATCCACATACATTCTGTGTCCTGAGCTGAACAAGGGGCCCATTTTTTCCCTGTTCACAGCCAGCTTTCCGTGAATGAGAGCGTCAGGCAAGCATGCTGCTGGCTGGGCCAGTCTCAGGAGGACAGGATGAATGTTCACTTGGCGGTGCTTTCTCCCATGGTAAAGCTGCGGCTCAGGGGGCTGAGTTCCCTCAACAGGAGCCAGTTGATTTCCAGCCCTCACAGTCAAATTTCCCTTACACTAGCCAGTAAAGCCCAAGTCACCGGTTTAAAGCCAGTTTGGGTGTAAGCGTGACACTGGTTCTCCTTAAAGTCATCTTTTTCTGGTTCTGAAAAACCTGTTTGCTTTCCAGCTCCTCTCTTAGCTCAGGGTGGGCTCTGGCTTCAGCCTGGGAGTTCCTAACCCATAACCAGAAGGTCAGTGATAGAGGCAGCCCCCAACTTTGTAGAAGAAGCCTCCTTGGTTTCTCTGGAGGCTCCTGCAGGAGAGGTTTCTAGCGATTCCCTGGGCCCCCGGGAGAGACCTGGTAAGCCACTATGCAGCTACCAGGAAGGCTGCCCTGAGTGTCTGGTCACCCTGGGCTTAGTCAACTTACGCTTCAGAATGTTCCTCTGCTCCAGTTCCTCTGCCGTGGGTCTCTGGCTCAGCCGCCTACGAAAAAAATCCAGGAAAATTTTTTGGACCATGTCATATCCTTCTGGGGTCGGTGATCTCCACGGCCCCAACAGATACATCAGGCAGAGTCAGCAGCTGGAGTCCTCTGTCCATCCTGTGCCCCAAGACACTGACTCGCCACCAGTGCCTCCTCGGTTCCTCAATTTCAAGCCCAGGAAGGGCACCCTGCGTCAGGTCACGCAAAGCTGCCCTCCCTCCCTCGGCAGGCCCCTCCCCAGGCCTGCTCCTCCAGTGCCCCCAGGCCAGGAGACAGAAACTTAGCTGGGCCTTTCCTCTTCACAGAAGTCCCTTTCTTTCCTTGTGGCCTCTTGCCTTTCTCTCTCTGCCTCCAGGCTAGCGCTTGCTTCTTGCTACCTTTGTGCACACCAAGAACACAGAGGCTTGTGGCCTGGAGGACATGCAAGAGAGGGTGTCTGTCTGCCGAGAACAATGGCTACTCTTCTTCCTGTCTCCACCCATCTCCACCAGAGCCTTATTAGACATAGAATGCCAGATGAACAGGCACAGAAATGACTCTTATTACTGGGTGCATAATTAAGTCATAGAGAATGCGGCATCGTAGCAGGGGCAGGAACTTCTGGTGGTGCCGTGTGGAGAAGGAGGAACAGACGCGGTGACAGGTAGTGACAGAAGTGACTAGAGAATGGGAATGGCTCACAAGGGGAGAACCCCACATACTTGGACACCTACATAAAGTTTCCGGTGGTGTGTGTGTGTGTGTGTGTGTGTGTGTGTGTGTGTGTGTGTGTGTACCACGCAGAGTGGACCTGATTGGGAACAGGGACATTTTTGCTTTCCAAGCTTTTGGTAGTCATTGAACCACCCTGAAGTTATTCAGCTTCACCCACGAGGCAATGAATGATAAGGTATGTGTGAGGGGAATATTGTGGAAGGAAGTCTAGGCTCCTCAGAGTCTTCTACTGGGACATCGTGGGTAGAAAGGCACGCTTTCCTAGTCGTACGGCTATAGTCACTCCCCAAACTTCTGAAACTGAGGTCTGTCGTTGGAGAGATGTTTATAGCTTGGAGTCCTAAGAGAGACCCAGGATGCAAGAAAGTTGTCAGGATCAAGATGGAGTTGCTTTGGATCTTGCCCTAGCAACAAGTCAACCAATTAAATAAATCAAGCCAGATACTATGGAGACTGCAAAAATCACAACCTCATACAAAGGTGCCACAGATATCTGTACGGATGTCTGCCCGACTGTGTATTTAGTGTTAGACCAGTCAGCCCTGCTGTTTACTCATGCAGTAGCTAAAGCTTCTTATTTTAAAGTGTAGTAAGCAATCCTCACTTTGCCTTTAAAAATCTTTCCCCTGTCTCGATTTCCTTGAATGCTCATAGCTTCTCATGGTACCCATGTCTTCACTGCAATGTTCTACTATTCCTAGATAAATAACGCTATTATTGGGTGACTCTGATTGTTATTTAGGGTGACAAGTGAAATATAAAATCCGTGGGGCCTCCAAGTATAACTATTTCAAATTCAAGTCTTGTTATCTGTGAAAGCAGCAGCACCTTGAAACTGTTGGACACTGTAATCCAAAGTGTTTTAAAGTTTGTAAGAACATTTTCACATTGATTATTCCTTTTGTTCTGTAAAAAACATCTCTGCAACATACTATGAAAGCGGTATGGTCTTTGATCTTATTTCCTATCAAGGAGTACCTGAACCCCTGGGACTTCCTATCAAGGAGTACCCAAATCCTCTGGAACTTTGATATTCCAAATGAGTACCTCAGATCATATCTGACTTTATGCTAATGAGACGAGCTAGTGTGGGACCCCCTGGGTAGCCTCTGGAGGGGACTGGCCACTAGAAAGACCATGTGATTGGAGGGTTGAAGCTCATGAAAACCAACAATGAGATCAGATGAGCTTCCAGGTTGCTGAAGTCCTGAGGAGCCTTCCAACCTTTCCCCTACCAATCTCTCCATCTAGCTTTTCACCCACATCCCATGTTTTCTTTTCATTACACACTGATCAATATAAGTATGGTGTTTCTGAGTTCAGTAAGTCATTCTAGCAAATTAATCAAATACACACACTAAATAAATAAAAAAATAATAAAAAGATTGCTTATAGAGACAATATTTTATTTTTCAAGGCTTACCTCAAACAAGAAAGTTAAAAATGATAGATGGATTGTAGTTACTTAGGGCCCAAATGCTTGTGATCTTTGTGTTTAAAGCTATCAGTCTTCCTGTTTTACCCCTGAATCTGAACAATGCACCTCATAAAGCCCCCCTTACAGTTTCAGTTACAAATTGGAAATTCTTAAGAGAAATAAGTAAACCTGCTCATATTTTTATGCTTAATTTTTAAGCTGTGCTTAATCTTTTGATTAGCTGTAAACTCTATTATTTTTGGAAACCCTCAGGATTGTACATATGGTCCTTGGAAACACTCTCTCTCTCTCTCTCTCTCTCTCTCTCTCTCTCTCTCTCTCTCTCTCCATAGACACAGACAGACAGACACACAGATGCATGCACACACACTCACAGGAGCATGCACACTTAAATCTAACATGTGCGGTCTCTAATATCTACTTAATAAGCATGCTGACTTTGCTGTACCCTGGCTCATCCTGAAATTCTTTTTTGTATGTTCAGGAACCAGCTTCATGGAGTGGAGGCCCCTGAGGAGGAACCTCCCTGGCTTTGGACTAAATTACTCCAATACCCCTGACAGATATGGGCTACACACTGGGAAACATGAATAGCGAAAGCATTCTTTTCTTAGCATTTTTTCTTTTCTTTTCTTTTTTTTTTTTGACTTGCTTCCTGGTTCCTACAACAATACCATCAACCTTGCATGTCTTACTCTTGTCCAGACTGGTTCTCAGAAGTGGGTGCTGTATATATAGCTGTGATGGTTAATATTAATTGTCAATTTACCAGGCTCTAATATCGCATAGGACACAAGCTCTGGGCATGCCTGTTGAAGGGTTATGCAGATCAGATTAGCCTCGGGTTATGTTTGTGAGGGGTTAGCAATAAGGCTGATTGCCATAGAAGATCCACCTTAACTGTGGGTGGTATCACTCCTTGGGCTGGGGTCTTAGACTAAATAAAAAGGAGAAAGTGACCTGAGCAAGCGGTCTCTCTTTACTTCCTGATGCAGATGCAACGTGACCAGCTGCCCCAGACTCCTGCTCCTATGAAATAATTCCCTGCCATGATGCACTGTACCTCAAAGTCAAGGGAAACCTCGAGTGATTTTGTCAGAGCAGCGAGACAAGTTACTAATACAGTCACCCTCCTTATCCACAGGAGGGATATTCCAAGACTGCCAGAGCATAGTAGAAACCGAGATAGGTCTGAACTTGACATACACCACCCTCCTCTGCGTATCTTTCTATTATATAGCTTAATGCATATATTAGGTACTCTAAGAAATTAACAATAATTGCTAACAGAGCAATTGCAAGAATGTATTACAAAAAATGTTAAGTGAATATGATCTTTCCTTCTCAAAATGCTTCATTTGACTGTACAGAGCTTGAGGCTGATTTTTGGGTAACAGGAAGCATGCAAAGTCAAACTATGTGTGTGAAGGGGCAAGAACTCCAAGACTCCTGAATGCACTGAAAGTCTACTTTGCTGGTAGATTTAACTAATTGTATCTGATCTAGATTCACATTAAATCAAGAAAAGAAATTTCCTATCTATATCTGGATATTTATATGGTGGGTGGCAAGGGAAATCTTCAGAGCTAGACTCTCACATGAAGTGAATTATCCAAAATTAAACACTTAGTATGCTTTCAAGTGACCTTAAATAGCTCTGCTATTTTCATACATGTGACCCTGGTTTAGAAAATATCTTTGAGTTGCAAAACTGTTTCCACAACTCAGAGGATTTCCTTATGGGCCATGACTAAATGATTCACATTAACTAGGAACTGAAAAACCACTGGGTTCCTGCTTATGTGCCTTTATGACATCAGATGCCAGCAGTGGCCTTCTATGTTCTTTCAAAAACATTTTTTAATGACTTACTGTCTTTTTTAAAAATTTATTTATTTTTATTTTATGTGCACTGGTGTTTTGTCTGCATGTACATCTGTGTGAGGGTGTCAGATCTTGGAGTTACTGACAGATGTGAGCCATCATGTGGGTGCTGGGAAGTGAACTCAGGTCCTCTGGAAGAGCAGTCAGTGCTCTTAACCGCTGAGCCATCCATCTCTCCAGCCCCTTCTTTCAAAATTTAAAAGTGTACCTTGTCTTTCTTCAGTCTGAAGATGTTATCAATGAAAGACTGTTAGAAAAACAATTAAATTGATGCACGCTTTGTTGTTGGTATGGAAAGACTGCAAAAATAAAATGAAACTCAACTTCCTAACCTCCAAAGAAAATCCCAAATGACAGGAAGTTGCTTTAAATATATGCAGAGCAGGGATGCCATCATTTTAGGCCACAGTCTCTCCACAGAGAGGTGACAAAACCCTTGTCGGTTTCACTGGTTTGACTCCAAGATCAGTCCTGCAGCACAGAGCTCATGACTGTTCCTTGCCAGCAGGACACGAGGGTCACAGTTTTCATCAGCTGCTTACAGTTGGGAGAGCCCTGGTCCTCAGGTCTGGATCCAGGAAGCAGTCTGCATCCCAGCACCAGAGGACCATCACATATGTTAGACTTTGATTTATTTCTATATTGTTCCTTATGGTGTTTTTCTTTTCTCTAATCATGTCTTCAGCTAAAGGTCAACTTTTTTTTTTTGGTTTTCTTTTAACTTCTTCTTCCTCTATAATCTTGTTATTCACACATCATAAATTGTTTTCATTGTTTCATAGTATATTACAGGAACTGTCTGACCATAAGCCCATAAACTGTCTAACATAAATGTACCTTTCCCATGATCATAAAAATGACTGCAAAATCCCACTTTTGTAATCACTTGCTCACTTGCTATAAAGAGATTTGTTGAATATAGTTTTACTATATTAAGGTTAAAATCTTCCTTTTTAATTAGAC